TGTCTCCATACAATCAGCACCAGAACCCTTTTGTGGCTAAAATGAATTCCCCTTTTTATAGTCTCTCAGCACAAGGACTTGTGAAGAAGGCTTGGATTCATTTTGTTGAAGGACAGCAGGCACCAGTATAATCTTCTATGACTTTACAACCAACACTTCTCACTCTCACTTTTCATTTCAACTGCTCTATTGTTAAGTTGTACTGGTGACAGCATTCTCTTATTGGCCACTCCAATCCATCTCTTTCAGGGACCCTTAACAATGTAAATATCTATTTAAAGTTCTTTCATTTACTTCCCATATCATAAGGAAAAACAAAAATTTCATCTAGTTGGTAATATTGAATTCAATCTTTAGCCTTCTCTTCAATGATGATTCAATAGAAGTTTTGTTTCTAAGAATTATTTTCATCTGGATAGAAAACAACATCCTAGCAGTTATGGTTATTCCTAAACCTAATCCCAAGGCAGACAAGGTGGCAGCAAATGCAGCTAATCCAAAGGACACAAATGGAAGAAGACCTCTCTGGGCTGCTCTCATGTCACTGTTCACGGTGTTCCACCCAAAGGAGTGACTGCACAGCTGTATATACAGTCACGATAAAAATGAGAGCAGCAAGAACACAGGCCAGGGGTGCTGAAAGGACAAAGAGTGTGAATGAAGCATAGAGTACCCATTTTGGTGCAGAAGAATGTCTTCCTCCTTCTGAAGTCATGAATTTCCTTTGTCTGTGCACTTTCCATGTGCCATTCTCAGGCCTCCAAGTTTTGGGATGTCAGTGCAAATGATGCCATCTCCACTATGAAGCACTCAGTACCTGCTGCTCAGCCACAGCATTAAGAAGGCCTGGGCTCACCCTGACAGACTTCCTCCTTCTTGGATACCTCACCACAGGCAACTGTGTCCAGAGCAAGCAGTAAGCAAATCATGATCACCAGAGCTGGAATGTGGGACCTGCTCCAGCCTGTGCGTCCTTGACCCTACTTGCCAACTCTCACTGGTTTTTGAATCCCCAATACTCAGTGGACTTTGAAGGGTCAGTAAATTTTAATACAGCATCCAGTACAGTAAGTTARGCATGTCCCATTCTACTTGACCTCTACTACATGGGATGCTCTTGACACCTGCTGGTCTACATGCTCCCTTCCTTCCTCTGACCCTCTTCTTAGTCTCCATGGATCTTTTCTCTGGCTCTGTTTTAAGTCCTTTCCCCTCCCAAGAGGTCTTTCTGCCTCATATTTCTACTCCCTCCACACTGCCTGAATGGCCTGTCAAAAACACAAATCTAGCCACATCACTCTGCCCAAAATTGTCAACATTCCCCATTACCTAACGAATTGGATCAATTCTAAATTCCATAGACTAGTCTACAAGACCCTCATCTTTCCTCACCCTCTTCCCTTCCATTTCACACCCTCCCATCCAGCCACACAGAGCAGCTTGCCCCTTGCCAGGAACACTGCATTGCATTTCTCTGTGACTCTGCATAACAGCTGTCACTGCCCTGAGTGCCCTTCACCACTTCTTACACCTGGGGAACTTCTACCTGTCCTTAAATTCCCAGCTTAAATGTCCACTTCCTCTATGAAGCCTTGTCTAGGTACTCCTTCCCCTAAGCTCTCAAGCACTTCAATGCCTTCAACATAAGCTACTGTATCAGTTTTCCTAGCTGGACTGTGTGCACTTTAGGAAGAAATTGGGCTTCATTCCATTTTGTATATTTCCAGGGGAAAAACAAGACCTTGCTTAGTCAAATAAATAAATGAACAWTCTAGGTTTGTGCTGTCCAGCACAGTAGTACACATCATATATTKCCACTGAGCTCTTCAATGAGGCTGGCCTAGATTAAGAAATGTTGTAAATATAAAACAAACAAAGGATTTCAAAGTCAGTGTGGGGAAAAAGTAAAATATATCATTGGTATATTTATATAATGATTTAATATTGAAACAGTATTTTGCATATATTTGATTACATTAAACAGTACTGCTCAAATTAATTTCACTTCTCTTTTTTTATGCTTTCTAACATGGTTAGTAGCAAAATTTAAAATTACATACATGCTGGCCTCTCAGCTTCCTAATTGCCACTCATAGTTACAGTCGTCAGAATGATCCTTTAAAATGTCACTCAACTCATACATGGAGCTTCACTGAGGTAGTTACATTCTCTAAAGCTGCCACAAGCACTGAAATCAGTGAATACTGAATCACTGTTTCTACAGCAAATATATGGTCAGGCTCCTGAGAGTTCCCCATTCACAACATTTTTGTCAACCAATCAACATGTAACTTTGTATTACGAGTGTCTTTGTTTAAAGACACCTTATTTAATATATATTGTTGAATCAGTGCAGTTGAACACAAGGCAAAGGCTGAACAAAGCTCATGTAACATACATTTTTCTCAGGCACAGCACAACTGTTATGATTGGGATGTGAGGTGTCCCCCAAAAGCTCCTGTGTTAATGCAAGACTGTCCACAGGGAAAGTGGATTTTGAGAGCTGTAACATAATCAGTCCATCCTCGTTTGAATGGACTCAGTGGTTAACTGTGGGCAGGTGGGGCATGGCTGGAGGAGGACCGTCATTCGGGGTCCTCCCTAGAAAGGAGCATCTTCTCGAAGCTCTTTCGCTCTTCTTTCTGCTTCCTTGCTGCTAGGAGGGGAGCAGATTCCCTCTGACACGCCCTTTCTCTATGATGTGTTGGGCAATGGAGTTGGCTGGCCATGGACTGAAACTTCTGATACATGACCCAAATCTGCTTTTCCTTCTCTAAGCTGTTCTGGTTGGGTGTTTTGATCACAGCAACACAAAGCTGACTAAAACAACTACCTTCTTGTGCTTAGGAATACTAGATAGCATTTCGGCCCTATACTTGGGGACATTTAAGCAGCAAAATCACCAACAAAAAGCACAAAAATAAGAAAAACATGGCATTAAATATACCTCCAAAAGAACATTTTTAGACGGTGTACCCTTATTTTTTATTTTTTTAAAGAGAGAGAAATTTTAATATTTATTTTTCATTTTTTAAAATTTTTTTTAAAGAGAGAGAGAATTTTTAAATATTTATTTTTCAGTTTTCGACGGACACAACATCTTTGTTTGTATGTGGTGTTGAGGATCGAACCCGGGCCACACGCATGCCAGGCAAGCGSGCTACCGCTTGAGCCACATCCCCAGCCCCCTCATTTTTTATAAAAATATTTATTTGCTCTTTTTAGTTGTACATGACAGTAGAATGTATTTTGACATATTATATATACCTTGAGTATAGCTTCCCATTCTTGTGATTATACACTATGTGCAATTATATTGGTCATGTATCCATAAATGAACATAGGAAAGTATGTCTGATTCATAACTTATACCTGGGGAACTTCTACCTGTCCTTAAACCCCCAGCTTAAATATCCACTGCCTATCCCATTTCCATCCCCTTTCTGGAGTATGTACCCTTACTTGACTTCAACTGAGAAAAAATGAGAAAGCACCACAAAGTATTGATTTTGGGGTGTGCAGGGGAATTTGCAAATATGAAATCTGTGAATAATGAAGCGTGACTAATTCTACTGCTTACAGCTCTTCAAGGGCTTTAGATTCCATTTATAAAATCCAAACTCCTGGGGTTGGGGATGTGGCTCAAGCGGTAGCGTAGCGCACTCACCTGGCATGCTTGCGGCCCCGGGTATGTTGTGTCCGCCGAAAACTAAAAAATAGATATTAAAAAATTCTCTCTCTTAAAAAAAAAATCCAAACTCCTTACAATGGCCTACAAGGCTGTTTTGTCCACAGCCCAGCAGTGCCGGGGTGGTGGGATAGATTTTGGAAAGGTCAAAGAAAGTGCCCAGACACAACATGGGAGACAGACAATTTATTAAGGAAAATTCATAAGAGCTCCATGACTGCCCCAGAAGAGCTCAGTGGCCAGGCTGACAGCACGCCAGTCCCTCATAGTATTTCCTCTCCTTCAGTGTTTTGTCCAATGGCAATTGGCTAGAGAAGTCACACATATCCTTTATATAGTACCCTGGGTCCTACCCACCCACTCAGAAAGGGGTTTTATAAAAGGCTGCAGAATCAGTGACATCTTTATTATTTTTTATTGTTATTTTAAAATATTTATTTTGTCAATGGACCTTTATTTACTTTTTATTTATATGTGGTGCTGAAAATCGAACCCAGTGCCTCATACAAGCGCTCTACCACTAAGCTATAACACCAGCCCAGCAGTGACATCTTTAGCATTAGTTTGTTTAGTCTGCTTACACAACCGGCATCCCAAGGAGCAACTGCCCTGGTGTACACGTAAGAAAGTGGCTTTCTAATGATAACACTAACTTGCCCTAGTTCCCTGTATGCATGAGGGAAAGCCAGTGTCCTTCAAGATAATGTGTATCTGGACACGGTGGCCCAGTCTTGTTCTCACTGTTCCCTTAAGTTGGTGGTTTTGGGGAACAGAAAGGAGGCATTCAGGGACACAGTGTTTTCTAACCCCCTTTGCTTTAGGGACGACGGAAAGGCCCAACAGGGTGCGGGTGCAGTTTACCTTCCTGCATCCTCACACCGCGGACCACAGTGGCTTCCTGCCTTCCCATTCCAGCCTGTCCCCACCCCGCAATGGCCCTGCCCTTTCACTTCTGCCTCCTCCTCACCATCACCTCCTTTTCTGAGCTCCCCTCCAGAGGCACCACCCATAATCCCGCGGGGGGCGCCCACTGGGCTTTCCTTCGCGGCCCTGGGGTTGGGGGTTGACTTCTGTCACAGTGTTTCACGGCGCCTAACCGGACAAGAGTGCGCGGAACCAGGGCTCGACGACGCCGGGGTGCGAGGGCGGCGCGCACTCCTTCCCGCCGCGGGCGGGGGGGCAGCGAGTGCCAACTGCGAGGTCCCACGACTCTCCCGCCTCCTGAGCGGCTGACCAACAGGCCCGAGGTCCTCCCACGAGTCCAGTCCCACGCCGTGCTGCGCTCCGCCCTCTGACGTCACCAAGGCGCGTCACGTGCCACGCGAGGCCCTGAGCCGCGACGCCTCGGGCCCCGGGCCCATCTCCAAACCTACCTGCCTCCTCTGACGGGGCGCGTCAGGCAGCTGTTGAGGCGGCCGTTCCTGCTGCTGCGCTCGCCGCCGCTGAGGGGCCGCGGGGACGGTGAGTCGCCTCTGCGCACCCGGGGACGGCTTCCGGCGGGAATCCCTCTCCGCTAGAGCGGGGGCTGGCCTCCCGCCCCGGTTTGGGGGATGACCTCGCCGCGGAGCCCCGCCCCGCCGCTGTGCCTGCCGGGTGCTGTAGGCCCCGCTTCAGGACTACAGGTCCCACGGGTCCCCGGGCGCACGGGGGCGGTGTGCGCGCAGAGCCCGCGGGCCGAGGGGCTCTTCCGAGCGCCAGGCCGGACCCGGGCCCTTCTCTGCGTCCCGCCGGCCTCGGGCGCCAGGTGTCGGAGGTAAAGGTGGCGGGGTGGGGGCGGCGGCCAGACTGGGGCTGTTCTCATTGGGGCGCTGCCGAGACCCAAGGCGTTTCGGTGTCGTTGCGGCCGCGGAGCTGCGGCGACAGCTTCCCGGGGCCGAGAGCCCGGGGTTACCGGCCCTGCGGCCGCTCGCGTGAGCCCTCGTCACGCCTCCCCGTTTTCTGTAAGAGAGGGTTGTGCCATTTTTCTGCGGGAGACCGGGAAGAGAGGGCGGGGGAGCGGAGGGGAGGGCAGCCTCACTGTGTGGCCTCAAGGAACGGGGGTCGGGAGGGTCCCCGCGCGTGACCTTGGCGGTCCCGCGGGAGCCCGCCGCGTTTGCCCTCCCCCGCCGGGCAGGCCCGTACGGGTCGGGACCTGGCTCTGCGCCGCGCTCCCGCAGGCGGATTGGGGAGGCGGCGGGTGGCCTGGCCTCGGGCTGTTCAGCACCTTGGTGGAGGTGGGTTCCCAGGGGCCTTTCCACAGGTGTCAAGGAAGAGAGCGGCTGAAAATCCTGCGTCAGCACGACCGGTGGCCGTTGTTAAAAGGACGGGGTCCTGGGGCTCGTCCCAGCCCCAGATTCTCGTTCTGTAGTTATGGGGTGTATCCCAGGGAATCTGTAAATAATGAGCTCCCAGATAATTCTCAGGCACATGGGACTGAGAACTCTGTCCCAGAGTGGGGATCAAGGACCTTCGGTGGGGGGCGATTCATAGCGTTTTTATCACTTGTATGCATTCTGGGGATGTGGGCTGGGGAGTGCCTAGGAAATTAGGACCGCTATCCTTGGTACTTTGCTTCTTACTTTGTTTGGGGCTGACATGAGTTGAGTGGGGAAAGGCCTGCCAGCTCTTATTGTCCTGCTCTTAACAGGAAAGAGCCATTCAGAAGACCACCTCAACCTCCCCTGCATTAGGAAAAAATTAGAATGCAGAAAAGTCGAAGGAATTTTACAGAGTATGCTAATGAACTCCATGTAGAATATACAGTTAACATTTTCTACTTTTTCATCAATCTATCCACCCAGCAGTCCCATCTTTTGTTTATGCATATTGAAGTAAGTTGTAGATCACCAGTGTGTTTTCTTTTCAAATAGTTAAGCATGCATATCATTAACTAGACTCTTAGGATTCTTGTTTATTGATTTTTAACCAACAGAACCTCTCAATCCTGAGGACCTGAAGGAGTGTGTAGGTTTTTTCTTCACATGAGGAAAGACCTTTACATATTGCTCTTACAGAATTTAAGAACAGCTAGCCATGGCTCTAGACTCATCCTGAGAGCAGAAACATGAAATATATGAAGAATACTTAAGGGAACAAAATTGTTTTGAGAAGAAGAGAATAGAATGTGTCCCAAAGGACAGTGCCCCAGCAGTTCATTCTGGCAATAACTGAAGTGAGTTGTCAGCCTGTGTGTTTTTTTGGCTCTTTCGGTACCCTATAAGCTTGCTGTTTGAAGCTGCAGGTGTGATGTGTGTTTTCTAAGCTGTAGGGGAACAGGGCTGGGTAACACATTTGGCAGGCACATGGTGCTGATGAATTAGAGGTCATGACTTGGAGTCCCTTAGGCCCAGATACTTGGTTCCATAGCCACAACTACCATTCCCTCACCCTATTCCTTCAAGGGGGAGAGAAAAGTCAAGCCTCATGAAAATTCGTTTCCGCTTTCAGAAACACCATACTAAGCATGATGACATATTTTAACTCAGAGAGGACGCAGTTCAGGATGTGTAGCAGTTAAAGTCATGTCATTTTATGTTAAGTCTGTCCTGTATGTGGAGGATATGCTGATAAGAAGGTAGCATGCAGGGAGAACTTGGGCCCTTAGTGGGGAGAAGAGCTATTTTGGCAGTGATGATGGGGGGTTTCTTGTCCCACAAGGGGACTTGGAAATAGATTGCATAAAATGGAAGCGTATCCATTTTTAGGACCCCATAAAAGGCTTCTGTGTTTACCTCCACCCTGTCAGCATTTCCCAAATCCTATCTCTTCGAGGCGGTAGAGGCTGCATTGTAATAGAGTGCTACAGAGGGGAGTTGGAGTCAGGCCAGGGGCCTGCTAGAGAGCTCCCACAGAGGGCCAGAGAGACACTGGTCTGACTGGCTCCTTAGCCTATGGGTCCACTAGGTCTGTTCACCACCTCTTCTGTACTATGAGTCATCAGGCAGTGCTCTGGTGATAATGATGGATTCTGGGACCAGTACTGCCTAGACTCAGCAAACCACATTGGAGGCCCCTCCATRTGACTTTGAAGCTTTGTGACAAGCTAATTGTCTTCCCAGAGCCTCATTCATTACATCTGTGGTAGGTGAAGAGACCTTGATCTGGTCAGAAGACCTATATCCACAGTAAGCACTGAAAAGATTAGGGTTTCCTAATGTTGACAAACAATTCAAAGCCATGAAGTAAAGGGTAAAGAGGTCCAACAACACTGGGTGCAGTGGTGCACACCTAATCCCAGTGGCTCAGGATGCTGAGGCAGGAGGATTGCAAGTTCAAAGCCAGTCTCAACAACTTAGTGAGGTCCTAAGCAACATGATGAGGCCTTGTCTCAAAATTTTAAAAAAAGGCTGGGGATGTGGGTCAGTGGTTAAGCACCCTTGGGTTAATCTCTGGGACCAAAAATGGTGGTGGGTTTCCAACATTCTGGTACTTTCCATGAAAGCAACTGTGATGCATTTTTGCTAATATTGGTTCATTTTTCCAGAAAACATTTCTTGTCAACTTTCTAGTGTTCCTGATTTTGTGGGTGCTGTGAGCCCCTGCTTGGTCTGTCCATTGGGTGATCCAACACCATCAGTTCGTACTGCAAAGAAGTGTCTCATGGTTCAGTAAAACCTCTGTGTGTGATATATATCGTGTTCAATAAATGTTAATTCGGCCTGAATTCAGATCTAGTTACAGTGTCCGAGTTTTTCCTTCAAGAAGAAAAGGGTATGGTGGCACATACCTGTAATCCCAGTGGTTTGAGAGGCTGAAGCAGGAGGATCAAAGCCAGCCTCAGTAATTTATCGAGGCCCTAAGAAATTCAGTTAGACCCTGTCTCTAATAAAACACAAAAAGGGCTGGGGATGTGGCTTAGTGGTTAAGTGCCCCTGGGTTCAATCCCTGGTACCAAAAAGAAAAAAAAAAAGGAAGAAAAGGAGTCCACAGCAGGTGGGAGTAGGTAGGGAAGGGTACAGGAGTTGCTTTGGGTGCATTTAAGGAGAATTTAACCCTATTCAAGAAAACATGAACAGTTGTCACAGTTTCAACTGACATTAAGTAGGAAAACAGGGCATGAGATTTCTGTGCAAGGTGGGGCCCTTTCTAAGTGTGTTGTTCCTACTTGGCAGGTTCTCACCTCTTATCCAGGGAAATAGTTACACAAGCATGCCTCAGCTAAGGAAGCAGCCAGACTAAGTGACTTGCACATGGTTGCCAAATAATGGCAGAACAGGGCTACACACACAGCTCTCTTGAAACAATGGCATGAAGGGGGTGATGGGAACACGGGCTTCCCCAGCCTTGCTATGACTACTGCTTCATGGAGTTGATTGTCATTCAAAAAATGGCATTTTTTCCTGTTTTGATTTTGACCATAAACAAAGGCATTTTTATGAGGAAGCATGTGGAATCCATCTGAGCTGTGGCTGTGCTCTGGTCCTAGGGCACGGGTGGTGGGCATTAGGATTAGGAAAAGTACAGGAAGTCCACTATGGTTAACCCCACACTCATAGGCTCATTTATTTAGCAAACATTCCAGTGGTTTAGAGAAGTCCAAAGTACAGTGGAGTAGAGCTGGAGTAGATTACTGTAGGTCTGGGACATGGGCTAAGCCCAGACTTTTCCCTTTCAACCTTGACTATCTGATGAGATAATGTGGGTCTGAGTGCTGTTTGAACTATGGAATCCATAGGATTTGCCAGCTGGTCAAGGTTTCAGAGAAATAGTTTAGAACTCCTTTAAGCCTGTACAGTTTTCCAGTGAACTGAAATAGACCTTGAGGCTGAGGAGCCCCATCCCAGCAGTGGTCAGCCTGGATGTGCTCTCCACCTGCTCAACGCATATTTCACGTGTTTCTGGTACTGTAGAGAAGTGGCCCCAAGTTCCATCTTCACCCCCAGGAGCTGTGGGTCTGATGGACAAACTGGACCCTTGAGCACAACTTTCAAGTTCTCCTGATGTGAATGACTAATGCCCCAGGCTTGGGATTGCTTGAGTTCTTTCCAMAAGGACCAGAAGCCTCCCCAGTCTCAGCCCTTCTCACAAAATCTCATCTGCTGATTTTGCTGAGTATCTTTTGTAAATTCTTCTTGAAGGTGACTTAGCTTCCTAGGTAGATCTATGGCTCCTTGAGGGCAGGAACCATAAAGTAAGTACTATCTAGCAAGGATCCAGTGACTTGTTGACTCAATTTAGAAGTCAAAAGTCTTAACTCTGAGGGATGGGGTTGTGGCTCAGCGGTAGAGCGCTTGCCTAGCATGTGCAAGGCCCTGGGTTCAATCCTCAGCACCATATAAAAACAAATAAATAAAAATAAAGGTATTGGGCTGGGGATGTGGCTCAAGCGGTAGCACGCTCGCCTGGCATGCATGTGGCCCGGGTTCGATTCTCAGTACCACATACAAACAAAGATGTTGTGTCTGCCGAAAACTAAAAAATAAAATATTAAAATTCTCTCCCCCCTCTCTCTTTCTTTAAAAAAATAAAATAAAATAAAAAAA